GATGGCTAAACGTGAGCTCTTCGTTTCCCAGTGCTCAGGGTCACTGTCCAGTTCCACGCCGAGGAGCGTCGGGTCTGGTGGTGTGTCACTGAGGCTCACTCACTCTGCAGTCTTGCACAGCAGACTCAGCTAAACTTCTCTGCAGCGAGCAGGATATCCCACACCTTTCCCTTTTGCCCCAGGAAGGGGTCCAGCAGTGTTCCATATCCCTCCTCCCAGCACTCAGCAGATGGGGAGACCTCCCTCTGCTCCATACGTTGGGAGTGAAAGGGAGGAGATGAGAGAACTGCATTCCCATTGTCACCGGCATTGCAGGTTCCCACATTCTCCAGGCAAGCCAGAGAAATTCTGCATCTTTGATTGCCTCCTCCTATCTCGGTTGCTGTTCATGGCAGAGAATGCTTTTTACAATCAATCACACAAGTCTGTTAGGGTTAGGCATTCATTGTTTAGCTTTGAAGGTGTCTTGGCCAAGCTATTGCATGGCATATTGCTCTGTATCTGGGTTCTCCTGGGATTAGTCTCTCCTCCCAGCTGCTGCAGTTGGAACCTCAGCACTCAATTCATGTCCTAGATTTCAGTTTTCAGGCCTACAGGCTAAAACTCTTGGATTAGGCTTTCAGAAACCACTCTGGTCATACCACTATAGTTGAAGAAGCCATCATTGTTCAGCCAACGTAGAGAAAGGGAATTAGGAAAGTGCAAGAGATGTTAAATGCACAGATGCAGGCACACAGGAGTCCCCATACAAGCCTGGGAAGCACTGAATCTTGGATCAGCCTTTTTCATAGGAAAAGAGGGACCTGACTTGATACTGTTTTGATGCCAAGGGCAAGGTTGACTAGCTGTTCCTTGCTGGGAGATGAAGATATCCTTCAGGTGCATTTCACATGCTTATTGTGCAACACAAAGACATGAATGATGAAGAACCTGACCGCCATGGGCTGTAGGAAGCGATGCGGTGGGACTGCATCCAATCCCTGCTCATGGACTAAAGGGATCCTACAAGGAAAATCTTGTAAACAGTTAAACTTCAGAAACAGACTAGAGTTCAACTCAGATGATCACAACATACTTCTAGGTGAGCCACTACCTCGACTGGACCTCACAGAAACCTTTTTTGAGAAAAGCAACGAGCTCTTCCACCACGCATGAAAGCCACAAGCTGAGGTTGAATCCATTCTACTTATCCAGCCTCTGCCTCTATAAAAGGATTAGGCAGACCGACAATAATCATCCGCTAACACAAAAGAAGATAGAATATTATCCTTCTACTGGCAATCTTCAGGTTTGAACATTATTTATGCCTCTTTCTGAACCTTTCTCTAATAGTCAGGGGAGAGCGCGACCTGCATAGCTGAGCGTGATTGATACGGAGGCTTTACTTCTACTATCTGCTTTTTACCAAGGTTACCTACTAAATGGGACAGTGCATGGTGCAGTCCTCAGTCATAACAGCCAAAGATTTTCAGTTTTTTAATGCTGGCCTACCTCTGTTGTCCACTCGGGGGGAAAGCACATGGAAGAGGAACGTATCTGGCCACTTGATGACCTCGCCCTTTCCCCTCAAGGTGCCGCAGCCTTCCCTTTGGAATGGCTCTCCTTGTTCCCCACACTAAACCTATATGAAACACTTCTCATGCTGCTCTGTGCCCTGCTAATCTGCGATTTTGTCATCATTTCCTACCTTTTTGCAAAAGCCAGAAAATGGGACAGTGCATGGTGCACTCCTCAGTCATAACAGCCAAAGATTTTCAGTTTTTTAATGCTGGCCTACCTCTGTTGTCCACTCGGAGGGAAAGCACATGGAAGAGGCACGTATCTGGCCACTTGATGACCTCGCCCTTTCCCCTCAAGGTGCCGCAGCCTTCCCTTTGGAATGGCTCTCCTTGTTCCCCACACTAAACCTATATGAAACACTTCTCATGCTGCTCTGTGCCCTGCTAATCTGCGATTTTGTCATCGTTTCCTACCTTTTTGCAAAAGCCAGGGCAAGGCTGACAAGGGTGTGACAACTCCTCCTCCTGCATTGCAGTAGAAGGACAAAGAGGGTACGAGGGAAAAGCAGAGAGTGATGGTGCTATCCTTTGCCTCTGAATAAGTAAGATGTTATAAGAGGTTGTTGTTCCAGATACTGAAATAAAAAATTAAAAAAAAACCAACATTCTGTAATATATTGAGGAATTCACACATTTTTTAGAAGTTTAAAGGTAAATCACCAGGTGAGAACACTGTTTCTCGTTGCCAAATTAATCCCAGCGATGGGGGACAAACTAAACGGAGGGGCTGCCAGTGAAGGCCGTGTGAAGGGAAGAGTCAAGGGCTTTTGGAGAGCAGGTTTATAGGTAGGAAACCTTGGGGAAGAGCGGCTGTGAATTCTTCACAGCTGAAACATTCCTGGCTGGAGTAAAGAGGCAGCCGATGTACATTAGCAGCAACCACCTGTTGGACTGGCTGGTCCCACACCATGACTTTGCCCAGGAGGGTTGATGGAGCGGGGGGCAGACAGGACTGACCCAGACACTCTAGGGAGGTTGGCAGTTCTCAAGCAGAGACACCCCCAAAGCCCAGGGAAGGTGTAAAGCCACCGTACCTCCACGCGGCGACGCATCCAAAGCACACAACCCCCGCTCCTTTTACAAGCTGAGAGGTCGTCTGAATTTCATGTGGAAACACTACATTAAAAGGATTTTACTACCCTCCATTAGACTTTTAATTCTTAAAGGATTACGAACAGGAAACCTTGCAGGACAAGGGGAGTTACTAAACACATCCTCCTCTTCAATATTATTTTTTTATATATATATGGATATCAGTGGTTTGTACTATTTCAACAGGCCCGAGTGGAGGAACACCACACAGTGCTTTTTAATCATTTCAGACTGAAATCTTGTGATGTAAAGCCAGAGAACTAAGTGATTCATGCACACACGGAAAGGGAAAATGTGTGTGAGCACCTTACTGGCCAAAATTACCTTGGAAGAATTCCAAACTCTGCCGAAACGCACCATGACAGTTGGCTTTTCTACCGCAGAGAGAAGGAAATACTGCGGAGAATCTGTGACACAATTGCTCCCAGTCCAGTGAGGTATTTCTGTGCCAACAAGGAATGCATTAGGAGTAATTGAGCAACACTCACAGAACACCACAAGCTGGGAAGTGGGAGGGATAGTATTACTCGCATCTTTGTTTTCTAAAACATTTATTTACTGTTAATCTTTCGATTTTTATCTGTACCCCGTCATTTAAACAATGTTCTGTGCACAAACACATCTGTGATCACTTCTCTCAAAGTAAAACATCATCGGTCATATTCCTTCTTCCCCGGGACATGGAGAAGGCTGAGGCCCTCAGTGACTTTTTTGCCTCAATCTTCACCACCAAGGGTCTAACCACATGGTCCAAGTCACGGAAGGCAAAGGCAGGGGCTGGGAGAATGAGGAACCACCCGCTGTAGGAGAAGATCAAGTACAAAACCATATAAGGAACCTGAAGGTACACAAGTCCATGGGACCTGGTGAAATTTATCCACGTGTCCTGAGGGACCTGGTGGATGAAGCTGCAAAGACACTATCCATCATATTTGAGAATTCGTGGCAGCCCAGTGAAGTTCCCACACCATTCTGTGATTCTATAATTCTATATTCACCTGCTCATACCGTCGTTTTAATTTTCTTGGCACAGTAAGTCAGGAACAGGCTTAGCTTTAGCTCATGTTCTCACCATCAACCAAGAGCTGGTAGGATTTCTCAGTTTTTGAGACTGAGGTGCTCTGAAACAGGCCAAGTCCTTAAATTATCCTTAAATGTTGTTTTGGAGACAGTGCGCTAAGATATAAAAACGGAAGCAAAGCATGTGCTAAATATATTCAGAAAAACCCAAAAATCAACCTCCCGAAAAAAAATGGTCATTGCTATGACATCACAGCCTGCTCTCCAAGCTGTAAGTGGTTACACTCCACTATCAAATTTATGTAACTTCAAAATTGCTGCTGCCACGTCTCATGAAGCACGAGAGGCAACTGCAGCATTTCCTCAGCCCCCTGCTCCAGAGTTGCTGGTTGTGGCTGTTGTGGTTTCTGACCTCAGTACGGCCCCTGGGGAAGGTGCTGAGAGGCTCCAGTCTGTTCTCGTGACTAACCCCAAAATAAGCCCTGCTCTTGTGCCGGCTCCGGGATCATCCAGGGAGAAACTCAAGGCAACAAGCAGAACTGCCATTAGCATAATATATTTTGTAAAAATCCCTAATGCTCATGTGGACAATCGAAGAGTATCTGTTTTATTACAACCTGTATTACTCTGAACACGCAAGGCTGTTTCTTATTGACAACCTGCAGTTTTAGCAATGGTCCCTCCTACCACGTGAGGAGCGAAGCTGCCTGGGTGCTCACAGCCAACTCAATCGCATTTCACGTTGTATTTTTCAAGCAACTGACCTTTTCAATCAAAAGGAGAAAGCCCCAAGTCCTGCTGGGAACAGCCCAACTACATTCTCTACCATAAGCAATTTACAGACAATCATGAAATAAATAAAAAAAATCCATGTTCGTTTTTATTCACTCAATTATTCATCTGTTCAATACTTTTACAATGGGATTACAAAAAATAGGTATGCTCTGTTCCTACCTTCTCACGTAATGCAAAGCTATCTCCAGGAGCGAATGAATATAGGAAGGACTGAATTCTTATATCACGTTCATCCTGCAAAGTACAGATGATCTCACTGGTTAAGTGCTTCTTAATACAGAACCACTCTGAAGTAAAAAATCACCTTATAATTAACAATTGCACTTTTAGCTTAAATCCATTTTACATTTAAATGTGGACAAACACTATCACTATTAAACGACTGTACTTCTCACAAGGTCCAATCTTAAGTATTTAAATGGTTTACACAGTTTGATTTTTCTTCCCCATGAAAGTGTTTCAAACAATGTGAAATAGCACAGAAACAGTTTTAATAAGAGAACTAGATTTCATTAGCTGTTACTGATCTAAAACAATGTGAAATAGCACAGAAAGTTTTAATAAAAGAACTAGATTTCATTAGCTGTTACTGATCTTCCAACCCCTTAATGAAGTACTTCTGTACAAAATCTGTACAAGTGTCTCACTTTTCCTCAACACTTACAGTATTCAAAAATAGTTTATTTTGCAATCATAATCCACTTTTATCTTATTTATCCAAGAATGAGGTTTCTTCAGTAGGTCAGAACAAATGTAAATGATTTTGTTTCATCCATCAATGACAAAAATCACAGAAGTACATTTTCACGATGTAAATGATTTTGTGTTTCATCCATTAATGACAAAAATCACAGAAGTACATTTTCACACCACTAGCTGCATTTTCAATAACCCCGCTTTTGTTTTTCTTCTTTATCAAGAATAGCCTGTTTTAGACTCAATGCAGCATCTTCAAACTGGGGGTTTAACTCTAGTACCTTCCTGAAATCTTTCATGGCCTCATCAAAGCATCCTGTCCCAAAAAAAAAAAAAGCAGCATTATTTTTCTGTAACTGCTCAAACTCACAAACCACAACTAAAGAATGACTGAATGATTCCTACTATTTTCACTACCAAAAAGTAGCAGCTGCACTTACTGGACCCACTACATTTGGATTCTCCAGGGGCCCAAGTGGGAGTCAAAGGCCTTCAGAGCAAGAACCCAAATGCCTATTTTTGAACCTAAAATGGGCTTAAGGCATTCAGGAAGCTTATTCCAAGGGAAGGAGCCAAAAGGCCCACACTCAGGCAGCTAACAGCCAGGCTGCCTTAAACCTGGAAGACAAACTAGGAAGCAGACTGCTTCCCAGCCCATGCCCTTGGTCCAGCTCCATTCTCTCTGTGCTCTCTCTGGTCCCTTCTGGGTCTTTATTTTGCAATGGGCAAGTTCTAAGAAAAGCATCAGGGGTATCATCATCTTATGGCATATTCAAAAGTTGGGCAGCAAATTCCCCAGAGACAGGTGACCCACAGCCCACTGCAGGAGCCTGTGCTCACTATGGCTGCACCGGCTTAAGAGATACTTTACTTTAATAGCAAAGCTCAGAATTGGCTAGTTTTACCCCTAATGCAAATTTTTCCTGAATTGAAACCCCCTATTTTTCCCTAGAGAGCATCGTTTCAGATGAGCCAGCAGCACATCTGCAAATAAGGGTATCTAACTGCATACACGGACTCGGAGCTGAAACGTCCTGTGATCGCTTGAGAAAAATCTCTGCACCATTTATTTCTGCCTCCTGTGTGTGTGATGACTTTCCCCACCGGAGCCAGGCAGCTCCCTCCATCTGTAAACGGGAGGGGATTTCTCTGCAGCCCCGGGTGAATCCTGGGATAAATCCAGGCTCTCGGCTGCCGGGTGGCCCCGGGAGCGCTCCCTGCCCTGCGGCCGCCCCGAGGGGGTTGGATAGCAGCCGTGCTGGGGCCGACGGGGGTGGGTCAAGGCCCGCCGCTTGGCTCGCAGACAGCGGGCCCGGGTCACCCTGCCCCGGGTCAGGCGGCGCTGGCGTGACCGACGGCGCGGCCCGTACCCAGGCGGTAGAGCACCAGGCCCCGGTTGTAGTAGGGCACCTCGAAGGCGGGCTGGCACTGGATGGCGGCCGTGTAGTCCTCCATGGCGGCGGCGAACTCCACCCGAAAGTACTTGATCTGGCCCCGGTTGTTGAGGGCCGTGGCGAGGTCGCGGCCGGCGCTGGGCGGGGGAAGAGAGGAGAGAGCGGGCCGTTAGGGCTCGAGCGGCCGTTAGGAGCCGTTAGCCCGCTCCCGCCCCCCGGCACGTACCCGGCGGCGGCGGGGCCGCGGTCGATGAAGCGGCTGTAGAGCTCCTCCGCCGCCGACAGCCGCCGCGCCGACAGATGCGCCTGCGCCGCCGCCAGCAGCTCCGCCGCCTCCCCCGACATGGCGGCGGCCGCGGCCGCGCCGGCAGTGACGTCAGGGCGGGCCGGGCGCGGCGTTACGTCACGGGCGCTTTTCCTCGGACCCGAGGGTCTCGCTGGTCCTGGTGGCTACTCGACTCTCCATGGGCCAGCAATGGGCCCTTGTCGCCAAAAGGGCCAATGGGATCCTGGGCTGCAGAGGGAGAAGTGTGGGCAGCGGGGGGAGGGAGGCCATTCTCCCCCTCTGCTCTGCACTGGTGAGGCCACAACTGGAATCCTGCCTCCAGTTCTGGGCTCCCCAGCTCAAGAGAGACAGGGAACTGCTGGAGAGAGTCCAGCGTAGGACAACCAAGATGATTAAGGGATTGGAGCACCTCCCTTATGAGGAGAGGCTCAAAGAGCTGGGGCTCTTTAGCCTGGAGAAGAGAGGGCTGAGGATATTAATGCTTATAAGTATCTAAAGGGTGGGTTGAAGGAGGATGGATTCAGACTCTTTTCAGTGGTTCCCAGTGACAGGACGAGGGGCAACGGGCACAAGCTGGAACATGGGAAGTTCCACTGAAATGAGGAAGAACTTCTTTCTGGTGAAGGTGCCAGAGCCCTGGAACAGGCTGCCCAGGGAGGCCGTGGAGTCCCCTTCTCTGGAGATCTTCAAGACCCGCCTGGATGCAGTCCTGAGTGATGTGCTCTGGGCAACCCTGCTTAGCAGGGGAGTTGGACTAGATGATCTCTAGAAGGTACCTTCCAACTCCAGCAATTCCATGATAGCTTGGATATGATGTCACTAGCACCACCTTCTATGAAGGCAAAAGCAGCTCAAATAACAGGAGAAATAAAAAAAATTAAAAAAAAGTAATTAGTATTTAACATTTTCTCTACAAAATGGTGTCTCTTCTTACCAGGCCTTGATTGGGCACAAGGCATTACTTGCCCTGAAAGATGGCGCAGAAGAGGCCTCATGCTCTTGGTGAGGAGCGCAGACGTCAAGGATGACATCTGGGCGTGGAGCAGGAGCAGAGGCACACATCCAGCCATGAAACACAACAGCGAGGTAAAACAGCGTCCTTAAACCTCCACCTCTAACAACGGTGACGGAAATTCCAGCGGTGGAAATCTACTCCACAGATGGCAGCTGCTGGTTTTGAGCTACTTAAGCGAAGTAGCTCGTTAGCAGATGCCAGTTTGAAGGTTCCTGGAGGTTTCCTGGACCGGCTGAAGAAGTGGCCAAAGCTCATGGCCCCAGATGCAGAGAAACAGCACTCACTGCTGAAGTTGGCAAGGCCTTTATTGCCACCCTGGGTTTAAATATACGCAGCAAAAGGAAATGACACTGATGTCTGCCTGAGTTGGTACCTTCCCTCCAGTAACATGGTAGTAGAAAAGCCTGTACAACAATATCATCACAACTACTGTGGCATTATTTCAATTTGGGAATTAATTCCTTCCAAAACCAGTGAATTTTGAGAAAAGCCAATGATTTCCTATGGAATTACAAAAGAAAAAAAAAAAACAAAAAAAATGGAGCTTGCTCAGACTAAAATGTATTAAGATGAACCCACATTCAATTTGCATGGTTTGGAAACTAGGCTCAATTTACAGTTAGAAAATAATTCTTTTACCTTAAAACTTTGTGGAAAAAAAATCGGAGTCCATTAACACAGTCCTTTCTTCACATAAATGAACCAGTCGAGGTTTCTCTAGTGAGTTGTGGGGTGAGTTTTTAAAAACGTTTCTCTGACAGTGGCACTATCTGTTACAATACAGTACCCGAGTTTATTTTAAAATATAGTACATGGATAACATTTTAGACAGTATTTCTAGAAGACGTAACAGGAGGATAAAGGACTCTCCCCTGCTATGCTGCACTGTGGCACAGAGGACAGAAGTTATAATTACTTGCTTCTTTGGCTTTCATGCAGTGCTTACATACGCTGCACATCCAGAATCGATACTCCAGGATAGGTTCCCCTGTTGCAACACACACAGGAAGCTTCCCATCTTCACTATTTAAAAAAAAAAAAAAAAAAAAAAAAGAGTAAATAAAGCTGAAAGAATAAAAACATGGTTTTAAAATAGCAACAAAGACTTGTTTTGTAGAAATTTGCAAAACGGCATAAAATCTTAATTGCGTGCCTACAGCTAGTCTCTAAACTTGAGATGCTCATCTGTAAAATGCAGCTTCTCTGTTCATGTGTGTGACACTTCTTTATTAGAAGTTACTAAATCATGTATTACTTCACTGTTGACATAGCCAAGTATGTAAATCTCCACACAAGAGAATGCACACCCCAAAAGCCACACAGTCAACAAATAAGCACCAGCAGATCCAAAAGATTAAGTGAAAAGCAGCAGTGAAGGCCATATGAAGGTAAGGTCCAATTAGACACCTGCACTACTATTACATTTAATGCTCTGAAGCGTCAACACGAAAGCCACTAGTGAGATTCACTACATCTGCACAGTAAAATAAAGGCAGCTTCAAATCCTATTCAGTAAAAAGAGAACTGATTCACAATCAATGTCCCTACTCACAAATTCCACGCCGTTAGCAGGAAATGTGTCAAAGCCACCACTGGGGTACAGCTGCTCCAAGGACTTGCCCCTTGAGCGTGCCCTTCATATTCTAATTCTTTCACTTAACATATTCATCTTCTCACACCACACAGATGTAGGTAACACAAAACACTAGATACTTACTGTTTAATAGTGATTAAACATTCACTAGTTGACATTTGCATCACACCACAACAGTGATACCAACAGGAACGTTACTTTAATGGTACGTGACACCTTATCAAAGGCCCTAAAATTCCTCTGCTCTGTCCACATGCATTTCAAAATGAGGTGGAAGTTGTATCTTTATGCCCATTTCCTCAAATACAGTCAGACTCTATGTTCCCAAATAAAATAGTGTTGTATTACACTTTCTACAAACTGTACAACACCTGCATCACTCTTGCTCAAAACTTGCTTTAAGCAGCAAAGCACCTAATTAACTTGGTGACACAAATCCTGCCAAAATCCAAAATACAGACAATAGCAGGAAAAAAAATTGGTGTATTATTACAGTATCATATAAACCCACCTCTCGAGAACGTCATCCAGATCAGATTTTATGTTATACTTGGGACAATGTCTCGTGAATATCTCTAGAGCAAGCTCTTCATACTGTTGCCTCTGCTCTGGTTTAAGAGTTTCCAGGGATTCTAGTTTAACAAAGGCTTTTGAACAAATATCAAATGCTCTGTTTGCACATGCACAGAGTGCCAGAAGGGAATAGATTTCAACTGCAGGGATAATGTCTTCATAATCTCGCAAATGAAGAGCTAAGAAATGAAAAAAGAAAAAACAAAAAAACAACAGGGAAATTATTACATGTCTTCTGAGAAGTGCAAGCATCTGTATGAAACATTTGCTACTAGTAGACAATATTTAATCTTACAAGTTGGACACAATGAGCCAACCAATGTCTTTTCATTGACATGACTCTGCAACCCTTTTTAATAAATAATAAAAATAAAGGGATCTGACTGAGAAATCAAAGTGTCTTTTTGAGACTTTTTTTTAAAAAAACATGTTAGAAGTATTTGAAATGGACCTTCATCACTTGGACAAAGTATAGGGCGCTATTAGCTTCTCTAACTCCCACAAATTTTTTATTAAGCTCTTCAGGGAGGTCTGACAGGAATTCAGGCATGCTAAAGAAAGAAAACAATCAACAGCACATCTACAGATTGTCCAATTTAACCAGGTAATATTTGGTAAGTTCCATTGTCTCCGAGAAAATATTTTCCAGGTATCTTAACTGCAGCCATACTCAACTCATTACGTGGTTTTGTTTTAAATCTCATGGATCAAGCAAGAATAGAAGAAATGTGCCAACTGTAAGTGAAATTATGTGCTGTGCAGGTCTGTAAAATTAGAACAGTTTCTTTACAGAGTTAAAAATGAAATCCTACCTGTTTTAAGTGCTGCATCTACAGAACCTTTATAGAGCTGTCTTTGTGCAAGTATGAAAAAATGGTAAGCCTCAGCTCCTCGCCAAGCATTGTCTGCAAAGCGATTAGTTGAAGAAAGAACATCTTCTTCTAGCAAACCAGCCAAAGCTGAAGCAGTCTGAAAACAAAGCAGTATCACAAGCAATTTTTATATAAAACAGATACATCAGGAAATGGGATTTTACGAAAAGAACTTTTCTGTAGTTGGTGATTATACTACTGTGTTAACTAGGGAAAATATAAATACATGGACCTAAAGTGAACATTGTTAGATATTTTATACAGTGCATAGGCAGAACATGTGGTGCAGATTTTCAAAAGTAAATATCATATACATGTGTACAAATATATTCTGTGCACATCTGCAGACTGGTTCATAGCTTGGATTAATATTGCATTTCAACACCAGACCTCTTAAAACTTTGTTTAAACTATTTCATTTGTGCATATGAAGATGAAAGTGTCAGCTGAAAAAAAAAAAAAATTCTTCTATTTGCTTCCCCCATATCTGGAGCCATCGCTCTGCTAAATTATAGCCAACATAACCTAATCTAAGCACAGATCTCTCTTTGGGATTGGTACTTACTCCTAAATGACAGGAAAATGAGAGCCTCACAGGGAAAAAAAAGTCTGGAGTTTCTTTGTATGATTTTCATTGTTATAGTGAAAACATTAGGAAAAACATATTAAACTTAGGAAGCAAAATATATGTTAATACATGTGATTTAAATGTTTTAAAATAATGTTTTAAACAATATGTTTTCCTGGAAGACTTGTTTTAAGGAAAGGTTTGTTTCTAGCAGGAAAAAGCATTACTAACAAAACATAATAGCCTCACATGAAGATAGCTTTGTTTATTCTAATGAAGTAGCATGTACCAGAATTCAGAAAGAAAAAGAATAAAAATAAAAAAAAGAAAGAGCAAACTACTCTACCTCTGAACTTTTTCCTTTAACTTTTCCCCTTTGTGCATTTTGCATTTGTTCATGGCACTGTTCTATAAGTAAGGCTGATAATACATAAAGCTTTTTAACTCGC